CTTCCTCTCGACGTTTGTGGCGTTTAGCGCGACGTTCTCGAGATTCAATACCTTTCTGCAAACAACCACAGAAATCACTTCATTACCACAAAAAAAAAAATTCATTAGGAGCTCATTAGGAACATAAACAATTCTGTAATTTCCCTCGTCGTCTCATTAACAGCACCAAAACTTCAATCACCACTGTAATAACTTGAAATCACATGCTGTACACACCGAAAATGACTTAAAACTACTCAGAAAGTAATATTCGCAATCATAATCAGAACATCCACAATGGTCTAGGACTCACTTTAAATCATATTAACGTATTAGGAATGATAATCATGACAAATATAGAACTTACGAAATTTACAATAATAATTTACAATCGCAAAGCAAAAGCAAAACACTAAAAATGTCCACTTACTTGCTGCAGAATGGCAGTCGTATCGGCCAAAGGACTCAACACCGATGCAGCGCTGTTCTCTTCATCACTGTCCACGTGTGACTGATCACTGCACGATAACGCACTCGAACTGCCACGTTTCATCTTATCACTTCGTCTCAATTTATTGTGTTCTGTAAAGCAAAAAATAACAAATGTTCCAAAAAAAACTAATCTGCAACAAACAATGCATGCAGCGATACCATAACATTTGACGAGTATTCCATCGTAAAAGATAAATAATTCGTCAAGCCGTAAAGACTGCCGTAAAAACATGGCGAATTAGCAATTCATTTGTTCTCTACAACAACATGCAATAAACAACTTGCCTTCCGTTGTAAGACCAAAACTGGTCGTTGAACGTCTATCTGCAAGCAAAAAACAAAACTGACGAACGAAGTTTGATAAAGTCTCACAAACTTATAGATTAACAGATATTTGCCATAGATGTGTGCTTAAACTAAACGAAGAAACGGGAATCTGAAGAATATATGTCGACGGAAATGAACAAATAGGAAGCGATATACCTCTGATATGCACTTGCGTAGCTTTGAGACCAGTGGCCAGAGTATTCGGTTGATTTCTACGCAACAAAGCGTTCGGTCGAATTGGTGTCGTATGCCATCGGCGTCGTTCGGTCGTATTCCGTCCCGTATGACCATCATACTGATCCAGCAACGAGTTCGCTGGGTCATCAAACTTAAATATGAACATCTTCATTCACAAGAATCGACATTAACCTGATCGAATAGTAACAACACCATTATCGTCATGTTCATCAACAATAACAACAAACTGACCCTAGGTGACGACTTGGAGCTATTTGAGCATTTCGATGAAGCCTTCGACGAATTCCGCTTCACAATCTTCCCGTTCGCGATCACTTTCGACTTCTCGGCCGACTCTTTACGTCGTATTGCGGTTCTGCAAAATCACCTTTATTCACACCGGAAACACCACAAGCAGCGGACAATAGCTCAATCTCAATTAGAATCCCTTCAAAATTCAGTGCCAACGATTCAATAATAAACTCTTAATCACAGAATAAACATTTGAATTGAATCAACAAAACGAAACGAGGAATCAAATGAATATCGCAATAACGACACCAGTAACAAAATCAAAAATCGAACAAATAAGCCACTGAATCACCAAATAAATAAAACAAAATGAACAAAACTCACGGAAGCAAATTGTCAGGTTCCTCGTCCGGCGGTACTTTCATCCAGTTTGAGTTGGCGACGTTTCGAATCGGTGACGGTGCCACCGGCTTCACCTTCGAATTAACAGTTAAATGTTTTCGCGGTGATTCACGTCTTGATCTTCGTTGATGCGTTGTTGTCATTCCTTCATCAGAATCTGCCACTGCACAAGCCGCGAGTGCGCTTCTCCTGGTTCCATCGGACATCTGCTGATGATGGTGATGACTATGTCTTGATGTCGACGTCGACGGAGTATGTGCAGCGCTTCCCTTTTTAGTTTCACGACCTGTACGACTGCTACTGTGAGCATGCTGATGCGAACGATCAACACTGCTCTCTTTGGAGGCATTGGCTCTGCTTGCAGATGGTTGCTCCCCATTAACGTTCTTTGCATGTCGTAACCTAACCGCATCGCCACCATCTTCAGTTGCACCACTGGGTTCTTCTTTCCCTTTCAACGCTTTTGACGTTTCCGCTTTGTCATCTTCTTGACACGTCGTCGTTGCGGTTGCAGTCATTGCT